ACCGCAGCTGCACCAACTTACATTCCCGCCCACAGTGCAGGAGCGCCTCTCCTTCTCTCCGCCCTCTCTGGCATTTGTTATTTTTGGACCTTTTGATGATGGCCCTTCTGACTGGTGTGGGTGATACCTCACGGTGGCTTTGGTTTGCATTTCTCTAATAATTAGCAACGTTGAGCCTCTTTTCATGTGCCTGTTGGCCATCTGTGGGTCTATCACTGGCTTTTGTTTCTGGCTCTGCCACAGGACATGTGGGACCTCGGTTCCCGTTGTTGCTAGGTTGCTCAGTTGTGTCCAACTCTTCACCACCCCTTGGACTACAGCACGCCAGGCTGCCCTGTCCTTCACCATCTCCTGGAATTTGCTTAAAGTCATGTCCAGTATTCTTGCCTGGAGAATCCCATGGACAGAGGAGCCTGGCGGGTCATGGTCCATGGGGTCGCAGAGGGTCGGACACGACGGAAGTGGCTAGCGGCAGCAGCAGCATGCCAACTGAGTCATTGATGCCATCCAACCGTCTCATCCTCGTTTATTCCTGACCAGGAGTCAGACTCATGACCCCTGCAGTGGAAGCACACAGTCTTAACCACTGGACTACCACGGAAGTCCTTGTATGTCTTCTTTGGAGAAATGTCTGTTTAGATCTTCAGCCCATTTTTTTAATTGGATCTTTTTTTGGTGCTAAGTTGTATATGCTGTTCATATATTTTGGATACTAACCCCTTGTCAGTCATGTTGCTTGCAAGTATTTTCTCCCACTCTATAGGCTGTCTTTTCATTTTATTTATGGTTTTCTTTGCTGTGCATAAGCTTTTAAGTTTGATCAGGTTCCATTTGCTTATTTTTGCTTTTATTTCTTTTGCTTTGGGAGACTGCCTAAGAACATACTCTGCTTTTGAATAAACAAATGTCAGAATGACTCCTGACCCCAGTGGTTTAGGCGCCCACCAGGGTTTCCAAGTGCTCATAAGTCTAGTGATTTTATTACTTTAGGAATTTGCATCGCCCATTACTGGAGCAGTTGGGAACTTAATCGGCAAAATTAAGGACACATATTTCAGAGGGTACAGTAAATATTCACTGATGGATTACCTCGGGCCAGGCCTGCTGGGGCATTGGGCGCAGTCACTGCTTTCCTGCCTGGACGTTTATCCCAGCATGGGTGGAAGCTGCAGGGTAGCTGCCTCCCTGGGGGGGACTTTCTCTGGCCCTGAGAAGGGGGATGGCTCTAGGGAAAGGGTGGGGGTGAGTGGAATTTGGATCCGTGCAAGCAGGAAGGGGAGGGGACTGAACTTAGTCTGTCACATGGGCAGCCGTGTGACAGCCCTGTTTGGAAGAATGAAACCCACCCTTGCTGACATCCTGATGAGGATATGAGTGAGGGGTGATGGTCCAGGGAAGCCGATGGGGCCTCCCGCTAACACGGCATAGGCACTCTCCACGCTGCAGGCTGTGTGGCCCCCCCAGCAAGCAGGCAGACCCCCGTGGGGGCAAGTGTTGCTCTGAACAGTAGGCAGGATCACAGGGCACTCCAAAGTTTGTAAGGCCATGTGCCCTTGATAATTCTGAACTGATCTTCAGTAGAAGGAACACCAAGAGGGTTTTAAAAAATCGAGCAGAACCACAAGGACCTGTCCGTAGTGGTCTTCTTGATTTATGCTCTGGGCACTCACAGACCCCATTGCCCCGCACTGGGCGGAGTGCCTGCAGCGGTCTCTCCTGCAGGGTCCTCATGGGATCCAGCAATGGGGGCCCAGCTGGGTGTCCGGTCCCTGCAAGGGCAGCTGTTCCCCCGAGGGGCCTGCAGAGGGATCGTCCTGTTTCACAGTGTGAATCCTTCTGTTTGGGGTTTTCCTGTGATGGGTGAGAAGAGAAGTAGGTGAACAGGATTGGATCTGCGGCTGAGCAGGGCGGGCGGCCCACCCAGGCCCTGGACATTCACCTTTAAAATGGGTCCTTTTCCTGGGCGGGTCGAGAAGGGTCTGGAAGTCCTTGGTACAGTCATCAGCCCCATTGCCTGACCCAGTCCTGCCTGACTGAAGCCTGGTCTCCAGACCAGGTGGAGCGGGAGCGTCCTGGTGTAGGAAGGAGGCTGTTCTCAAGGGGAAAGTGATCAGCCTCACCCTGTGAATTCTGAGACGAGCCCATCGCTGCATTTAGAGTCCTGAGGCCTGGATGTAGGGAGCTGGCTCTTGGGAGCCGTGTTTCGTGAATTTGTATTTCAACATGTTTCCCTTCTAAAACCCAGTTGGTCCTATAGTAGATTGATTCCCAAAAGGGCCAAGCATCAGAGTCACTGGAAAAGCTTAAAAATGTGCATCTCCAGGCCTGTCCCCAGAGGCGTTGAGGGATCTGATGATATAACACGTAGCAATCCTGTCATCCTTGGCTACCCTGTATGTGCTCAATCGCTCAGTCCTGTCCGACTCTCTGCGACCCCATGGACTGTAGCCCACCAGGCTCCTCTGTCCATGGGACTCTTGCAGTAAAAATACTGGAACAGGTGGCCATTTCCCATGCCAGGGGATCTTCCCGACTCAGGGATCAAACCCACATCTCCTGCATTGACAGGCAGGTTCTTTCCCAATAAGCCACCTGGGAAGGTGCCTGCTCTTTGTACCTATATCTAAAAAATCAGGGATTTTTTTTTTTTTTTTTGCCAGCTGAATTTAAAAAAAGAAAGAAAAAGAGAAGCAGCAGAGACGCCAGCAGCTTCCCTCTTTGAGTGATGTAATTGCTCAACTCAGGGGTCACCTGACCCACCTGAGTCCTTGTTGAAAATGCAGGTTCCAGGGCCTCACCTTGGAGCCACTGAACTGGCCTGACCTGGGATGGGGGATAGAATGTGCGTTTCTGACACACACCCAGGGATTCTGGAACCAGTGGTCCATCGAGGGGACTCACATCAGGCCATGGTAGCTGTGAAGGTCTCATGTGCGGCAGCCCTAAGCATTTTCCCTAAGCATTCAGATTTAGCTGCCAGGGCCCTGACAAAGACCACAGGATGCCCTTTGAATGTGGGCAGGATGGAGCTAAGAGCCCCAGGTTTAGCCCGCCTCTCCTGCCTCCTGGGTCCTGCCAGCCTCCTGGTCCTCCACCCTGTGGCCCACGAGATGCTAACCACCCTGCAGGCGCTGGGAAGCAACAGTGGAGACATGGCCTTCATTAGCAATGCAGTTCAGAGGTCAGCTGCAAGACCACCAATTAAAACAGGATCCTGCTAACTTCTGACACAAAATCAAAGCCATGAGCCTCAGCAGGAGTGGCCTGGGCAGAGGGCTCTGATGTGCCCCGAGGGCTGGGCCATGCAGCCTGTTCATCGCAGCTCTCTGTGCAGACTGGCTCTGGCTCCATGTGGGCCTAGAAGGTCCGGGACCGGCTGGGCCCTGTGAGTCCTGGACACTTGGAGGCACAGCCCAGAAGCTTGGCCCCCGGGTCTGGGGCAGTGGGTCTGCACTGAACGTTGGCTCTGTGTTCATAGCAAAAATCTATCAGCTTTTGGGCTGACAAACTCAGGATCCCCGAAGGTCTGAGTTGTCATGTCCCATCTGAGTGGCCTTCATTTCATATCTTTGTTCACATGCATCTGTTTAGTGAACTTATTTGAGTCAAAGGTGATTGCCTTTTAGATGCCACACGCTGAGATGGAGTGTAAGTTGGGGTGGCTTTTCTGGAAAAAAGCATGCAGCAAGCAACCTGTGCAGACACATCCATTGCCTGATTATTCCTCGGCTAGCAATGGGCCAAGCTTTGGCTCAAGGTGCAGCCTTCAGGATACACGTCTCTGCTGCGCTTGTGATACTGAAAGCAAGCAGGCAGCTTCAGTGTTCTCTGTTATGAATTAGTCCAAATGAAATGCGATCAAGCCCTGTCATGTCATGTTCTACAGTCATTAAAATACAACATTCAAGAAGAAGAGTTAATCAAATGGGAAATATTGTAATAAGTGACATTTTAAGAGGCATTAAAAGTGTAGATGAAGTAAATCTTATTTTGGTTGACGATGAGAAAAACGTGTACTTGAATGTGTCTCCATGCACATGTGTGGATGGTTCTCTGGAATGTGTGCACACACGTGTGTGTGCGTGTGTCTAAGGGGAGGACAGACTCTCCTCTACCTTCTTTGAGTCTCTGCTGGTTGGACCTAAGAATTAAGTGGACATAAGATAGATTGACAGGAGAAAATTTTATTGAATTTGTGCATATATATGAATCTTCACCAGAGAATGAAGGTGTGCAGAAGTGACCAGAGCAGGAGGCTTTCACATCTTTTAGACGAAGGAACAGTAAGTCTGTGGAGTTGACAGAGGGGTCTGGGCTGGGGGCTCTAGAGGGTGAGGATGTAACTAGGAGCTAAGGGTTAGTCTGGCCTTCCCTGGTGACTCAGTGGTGAAGAATCCGCATGCAGTTCAGGAGGTGCAGGTTGGACCCCTGGGTCGGGAAGATCCCTGGAGAAGGAAGTGGCAACCCACTCCAGTACTCTTGCTGGAGAATTCCTTGGACAGAGGATCCTGGCGGGCTGCAGTCCATGGGGTCGCGTGGTCAGACATGCCTGAGCAACTAGACGGCAAGGGTTAGTCTGACAGGTTTGTGTGTCCAGGTCTCTCAGCCCTGGTGATAAGGATGCCTCCCTTCCCGGGGGCGGGGGGAGGACCTTCCAGGACCCTTGTCTCCTGCTTCCGGCAGAGGACGGCGGGTCAGCGTCCCCCCGCCCCGTGTCTCCATGCTCCGAGCAGCGCACTGAGAGGCGGCGAGCTCTGCTTCCCTTGTCTGGAAGTGCTGTCGTGTGCCAGAATGAATTGGGTCATTTCTGGGTGGCAGGGTCACTAACTTCAATTTTCTTTTATGTTTTAAATTTTTCTGTAATAAAAGTGCAGATTTAAAAATTGTGATACAAAAGTAGCCCCAAGTATATGGGCCAGTCCCTTTTGCTCTGGCAAATGTGCTGATGGGGGTGAGTAGTGGTGCTGGGGAGCCACGCTGATGCTGATGAAGGGACGCACCAGAGACGGTAGCCGGAATGAATGTCCTGTGACCATGACGGCCACACAGCGGAGAGCGGGAAGAGCCTCTCGTGGACCAGTGTGGCTGCACCTGCTGCTGAGCTTCCTTTTTGTGCTGTTGTCTGGTGCCACCCCTTCTCCTGGGGGGGCCTTTGGGATCCTCCCAAACCCCCCACTGCAGAGCCCTCCCTTTTACACCTCCTGCTCTGAATCTGCATCTTCTCTTTGGCTCCCGTTATCTCCTCTTCTTCCTCCTCCTCTTGCCTTGTCTTCCCACCTCCGTTTTCTTTCTTTTATAAAATATGTGTAACATAAAATTTAACCATTTGAAAATTTTGACCATTCTTAATTGTGCCATTCAGTGGGATCAAGTATATTCACATTATTGTGCAGCCATCACCACCATCATCTCCAGATCACTTTCCATCACTTTGCCCCCATTAAACACAGCTCCCTGTAATGTAGACAGCATATTATAAAGCAGAGACATCACTTTGCCAACAAAGGTGGATATAGCCAAAGCTATGGTTTTTCCAGTAGTCATATACAGATGTGAGAGTTGGACCATAAAGATGGCTGAGCGATGAAGAATTGATGCACTTGAACTATGGTGCTGGAGAAGACTCTTGAGAGTCCCTTGGACTGCAAGGAGATCCAAACAGTCAATCCTAAAGGAGATCAACCCTGAATATTCATTGGAAGGACTGATGCTGAAGCTGAAGCTCCAGTACTTTGGTCACCTGGTATGAAGAGCCGACTCATTAGAAACGACCCTGATGCTGGGAAAGATTGAAGGCAGGAGGAGAAGGGGGCGGCAGAGGATGAGATGGCTGGATGGCTTCACTGAATCAGTGGGCATAAGTTTGAGCAAACTCTGGGAAATAGTGAAGGACAGGGAAGCCTGGCGTGCTGCAGTCCATGGGGTTGCAAAGAGTCCGACAAGACTGAGCGACTGAACAACAACCACCCATCCCCCTTCTCCCCACCCACCGTCCACCTTGTGTCTTTGGGAGTCCGCCTCTTCTCTGCACCTCAAATAAGTGGAATTACAGTATTTGTCCTTTTGTGACTGGGTCATTTCACTAAGTATAATGTCCTCAAGGTTCTTCCCTGTTATAGCAGGTGCTAGAATATCATTGCTTTTTAAGACTGAATAATATCTTAGGTTGACTGCTTGACACATGACCCATGAGCCACTTTGCAGACCTCACATTAATTTGCATCCTTAAGGATGTGCTTGCAGAGGACAGGTGTGTCAGGCCAAGTTCGAAGGGATGCAAAGAATAAACATCCTGCTGATGAAGGAAGCCCAACCTGGAGGGGTGCGTGTCTATTGGAAATGCTCTCAGATTCTGGCCCTGCTGGCCTGGGCCCTGGAGGATCATCAGTGGCCCTTGAGCATCCAGTGAGCTGGCCATGAGCGTCCTTCACATGTGGTTAGTGAAGAGCTGACCATGTGCAGGACACAGTGACTTCTGCGATGGTTGGGATTGGTGAGCGTTACGGGCTTAAGGGGCTGGTTTAGGGTCTTTGAGAACTGGTCTGGTGGACTGGGGCCGTGGGAGGAGTGGATGGATGGGCCAGTGAGTGCTTTGAATTTGGATACCTTCCTGTAGCAGGCCTGCCAGCGGCTCCGTCATCCATCACCTCGGCAGAGAACTTTCCGAAGCAAATATCCATCTTCAAGAAGAGCGACTCTGGGCTCCCTGACAGCATGTAACCAGGGAGACATTTGTTCAGGGCTTAGAAAGGATTCATGCCATAAACTTCCTGCAAAATCAGGAGCTGTTACAGACTTATCACAAGGTGTATCTTTTTAATAATGTGATGTTCAGTGATTCTCTGACTTGGCTGCCGGCCCTCGTCCTTGGTGCCTGCCTATGTAGGAGGTGGTGTCTCCTGACCCCCGGAGGGCAGAGAACACAGGGCTTCCTGCCCGCAGCTCAGGGCAGCCAACGCCCATGTCAGCAAGAGGTGCATTTGGGCAAAACCCTGACCTTTGGCCAGGGATAACAGGGGAAACAACACACATTTCCACCAAAGAGGTAGAGGAGGAGATGTTTGCTTAGGTTTCATTTCATGAGTCGTCGGAGATGCTGAAACAGGGAAGAAGGTAATGAGCCGGGTCAGTGACGCGGCGTCCAGGCTTCCACTTCACCTGTAGGCACTGGGGGTCTGCAGGGTGGCCGGCACCTCTCAGGTGACCAGAGGTGTGTCCATAGCAGCATAGCTGTCCTGGCTGTCTTCCAAGTCACAGAAACCCTCAATGTGCGCTGTTTAGTAGCCTTGGCTCAGAGTGCTTGAGGTGCATGAGCATCTCGTGTGTGTGTGTGTGTGTGTACATGTGTGTTTATATGTGTGTGTTTGCATGTGTGTTAAGCTGAACAAACATTCAACAAGTGAAGAATGAAAGTGCTGGTCGCTCAGTCATTTTGTGACCCCATGGACCGCAGCCCACCAGGCCCCTCTGTCCATGGGATTCTCCAGGCAAGAATACTGCAGTGGGGTGCCATTTCCTCCTCCAGGGGATCTTCCTGACCCGGGGATCGAACCCCGGTCTCCTGCACTGCATACTTTTCTGTCTGATCCACCAGGGAAGCCTGACATTCGACCATGTTGACCTGCAGAAGCCGCAGTTTCCTGTGGTTCAATCTAACATATCTTGGTGAATGTGTGTATTTTATACCACATTTCAGGAGCATTTGCTTTTCTGACTAGGATAAAAACGACTGTGAGCATTTGGAAAGCAAAGAAAGTTTTAAGGAGCAAATGAAGCTTGCCGAGCCCCAGCTGGCAGTGGTGTCCCCTGTTACGTTCTTGCGTGTGCGTGTTGTCCTCTTATTCATATGAGATCGTGGGGGATCCTACACTGTCTACAGCTTTTAATTCCCGGGCGGTCCACGGTTCTCCACGCTCGCCCAGTGGTAGTTCTCCACCTTCTTTGCCGTCCCCAATCCCCTCCTCACGCCTGGATGTCACCTGGCCCCTCCTCTCGGATAATGCGTACTGAGTGGTGGCCATGGCCCGCTCTGGGTGCCTCACCATTCTCTGTTTGACCCTGTAAGTAGTAGCTACATCAGAGACTCTGCATTTGGACCTTGTGGGGTGAATTCTCTCCCCTGGTTGACACGGCCGTGTTTCAGATGCTAACCCATCCAGACGTCATCACCACCCAGGGACGCAGCGTCGTGAGCGTCTCCTGCTTGTGCTCTGTTCCTGTGTCGTTCACACCTGACGAGGCCCTCGGTTCAAGGATAGGTCGTGTCAGCATGACCTGACCTGCAGGTGCTCTGTTCTGGCTGAAACCCCAAACCGCAGCGGAGACCCAGAAGAGTGCGTGGACTGTTGGCCTCAGCGAGGCGGTGATGCTTGGCAGCTGACAGCCAGGTCTCCTGTGGAAGGACTGTGTGCACAGCAGGGCCTGGGACGCCCCCCCCCCACCCCTGGGGAATGATCCCAGGACCTCTCCGTGAACCCAGAGCGACCTGCCTGCAATCCCGTATTGATGGTCTGGTTTCGTAGATGCGGTAATGGATGCTCCGAGAGTTGAAGGGACAGTACTCAAAATGTGATTTGCAGCGAGGCAATTTACATTTTATGTCTTTTTAAAAAGTACTCCGGAGGGCCGACTGTACGGTCTTGCGCTCGCTCTCGTTCCGCCTGTCCCCCAGGGCCGCATATCCCGTGTGACTGCAGCGTCCCCGAGGGCAGCCCTGAGTGATGGTGGTGCATCCCAAGAGGGCGCTTTACCTGCCCCAGTCCCCTGTGGTGGTGTCAGGAGGTGAGGCCTTTGGGGGTGATGTTCTCATAAACGTGGCCCCCGACAGCAGGCTCTCCCCTCCCACCACCAAGGACTCAGGGAGGAGGCAGCCACCTGCAGACAGAAGGGGTCCTCACCCAGACCTGAGTGCGAGGCCTGCGGGTCTCAGACTGCAGCCTCCGGATTGTGCAGAGGTAACGGCCCTCCGTGAGCCGCCGTCTGCGATGTGCGCTGATGGTGGCTCCTGGGGGCCGACACTTCCCAGGAAACCAGGCCTTGGCCAAGCCATCTGCAAAAGTCCAGAGGACTGGGTTAGTCCAGTAGGTGTCGAACCTACCAGTCTTTACTAGTGGGTTTACTTATTTGAATATATATATTTTACAAAGGGTTCTATCTGGTTGCTTACTTGGATTCTGGCAGAACCAGAGCCCGTGTGAACGCTGCCTAGTGAACGACACAAAATACCTGGAGGAGGAGGAAGCGGCTGGAGGTACTGGAGGGGCTGAGGGATAATCTGTTAATTATCTCCTTTGGTGCCCAGGAGCCAGAGGAGAAGGAACGGTTCTCGGCAAAATCAGCCTTGGAAGAAGTCCAAGGATGCCCACGCTCTGTGCTTTTTTAAAAAAATAAAATGTTCATTTTGGAATAGTTTTATGTTTACAGAAAAGTTATAAAGATAGCACAGAGCATTCCTGTGTACTCCTCACCCAGTTTCCCGTAGAGTCAACACCTTCTGCTACATGGTTTTTTTTAATCACAACTCAGAAGCGAGCGCTGGCACGTTACGAGTGATGAACTCCAGGCTTCACTTGGCGGTCACCCGTTTCCCCACGGGTCCTTTTTCTCTTCTGGAATCCGGTTCAGGAGGTAAGGATAACGCTGCCCGTGGTTGTTGAGTCTCCTTTGGCTCCTCTGGTGTGGCACGGTTTCTCATTCTTTACCTCCCTTTTAGTGACCTCCCCAATTCTGAGGACATCGGTCATGTATGTTATACTTTTCCACAGGCCGTTATGGTTTTTTGGGATAAACACCACTCATGCTAAGTGCCCGTCTGCCGTGTTAGAGGACAGATTCCTCTAGAGGACTCAGCAGCACGGCCTCCCGCTGCTGATTGAGCCTAGGTGCGTGTTTACGGGTGTGTTTGCCAGGTCCTCCTTGGCTGCCCCCGGCCCTGGTCAGCTCACGTTCCCTCCCGTCCAGACTCTATTCTGTGGGAGCACGTGGGTTCAGAATCAATTTCTCCTTTCTGGAGGGGGAAGTGACCACATAAATTACT